TCCACCTTCGGATCACGAAAGGCACACAAGCCAATCTACATCCTCAGGTTTAAGAAGATTGAACAGGGGCAACTTTTGTATCCCAAAATTTTCCCTCCCATATTCTTCAAGGTTTGTCAAGAATGATCTTCAAATTGCTCAAGATTGCTCAAGAGGTAGACAATCAGACCACCTCCTAAGACATCCAAAACTAGGGTTTTGGTTCTTTCAAGGAATTTGGGGTTTTCAATGGTTCAATCAAGTCTCAAGGGCCTATATACATTCTCAAGCATCTATATGCCAAGTCTCAAGACTCACAGTACCAATTAGCACAGTCAAAAGCCTCATTTGATCCGCAGTCAACCTCAGGGGCAAAATGGTCATTTCACAGTCAAAAGTCAGAATTTTTGGTCAACATCTTATTTTGAGCTCACAATCATCATTTTATCAAGTCTTGATCATGATTCCACAAGGATAGCTCAAAAATCATCAAGATGCAAAAGTTATTATTTTTGGACAGTAGAAAAGTCAACTGTATCTTGACCAGGGCATAACTTTTTCATGGTTTGTCAAAAAAATCCCATCCAATGCTCATCTTGAAGGGGATACAATTTCCTACAATCCATCTTCACACTCCAAGTCCAAGAAATGCTCTCACAAAAAGTTATCAATTTTTACATTATAGGTCAAATTCAAAGGTCAACAAAAGTGCACTTTAAGTCAAAGGGCATAACTTGATATTGGTAAATCCAAATGACATGGGACCAAAGGCATTGGTTAGAGGACTTCATGACCTTTCCAAAATGTCCAAGAACATGGTCATATGATCAAAATTGAGCAAGATATGCATTGGAGAAGTTGGGAAACTTTTAGGAATTTGCAAAAGTCAACCTTGCTCAAAACACCTTATTTTTGCTAATGGGCCTCAAATCTTTTCTTGAAACTTCATCCATGGCCTATGCAAGACCCATCAAGCTTAATTGAAATTATTTTCTTATTTTTATTGATTAATTGGATTTTTAATTAATATTAATTCATTTAATTAATTTAAATTGTAGGAAATTACAAGATTTGATTTTTTTCAATCAATTTGTGAAGTAAATATGGTCAAGATAGGCTGGCAAATTCGTGCTCAAAGTCAAAGATGAAAAATCTCCAAATTTGGCAACATTTTCCAATCATGAAAAATCAAAAATATTTGATTTTCATTCAAAGATCTAATCATCATTACAATGGATTCTTGCTCAAGTTTTTGACCTAATTCGTTTCCTCTATATATATGCAAGCAAATCCTAACCTCATGGACGTGAAAAAGCTGCAGAAAAAAGCCATACAATTTCAAGAAATTCCAAGAAAATTGAAAATTGGTTTTTGTATTCTAGGGCGATTTAAGAGTTTTTATTGATTCCAACACATTGCAGGAGATCCCAGGAAGGTTTTGCAATCAAATTCAGACCTTAGAGCTCAAGAAATCACTGAAAACAGAACCACGGTTTGCACTTATTTTCCAAAATCGTATTGTCGAATTCATGCATGTTTAACATGATTTCTTGATTGTTTTGCATTGCCAGGAACCATATGAAGCTAATGGTATCATTTAATTGAATTATAATGCACTAAATCACAAGATGCCATGAACAATTTCTAGGGTTCTTAAGCTTTGAAATTGGGGCTTTCTGAACCAAGCAAAATTAGGATTCATAAGGCACATGGTTGGAATCGTTGAACCAAGACGAACACAAAGGACCCCTCGCGAAATATTTATATACCCTGTATCTCTGTTCGTTATTTTTCATTGTCATGTTTAGTGGGGGTTAAAAAACTCCGCTATCTGTTTATATTTTTTGCAGGAACCATGAAGAAGATGATGATGTGTTAGTACATGGTTGGCCAAATCAAAAGAGCGCGTGTTTTTTTATAATTTCAGTCTATTAATTTGTTTGCATATATAATCAACACTTGTTATTCCAATGACAATTGAGGCAGCGTGGTGGAGTGGTTGAGCAAGCGTCCAATAAGCTTTGGGACCTGGGTTTGAATCCCAGGTCCCACAAATGTTTATTTGTTATTTATCTTCAGGCGTTCTTGTGCAAAGCTGGCAAAAGGAGTCTACCATACGCTACAAATCTCAGCATGCCAAGTGGCTCCTGGCCAAATCTGAAGGCCAGGATTGAAGGACCATTGTACTCCTTAGTCAACATGCGCATGGAGGATTCCAGAAAGTCAAAAAGGGCTTGCAGTATTTGGGCCTGAGAATTTCCAAATGCACCTCCAAAGCTGGCCCAAACCCCCTGAGTTTGCCTGTTTATTTTTCTTTCATTATTTTTTTTATTTTACTTATTTAAATTTAATTCCTAATTAATTATTAACTAACAAATTAATTTTTCACAATAAAATCAGAAAATTAGATATAAATTTTATTATTATTATTATTTATTAAAATTAATCTCACCCTTTTATTATTTTTTGTAAATAAATATAATTAACTAATTTAGTTTAATTAGGATAATACTAATTTTTTTTCAATAATTTAAAATCAACATAGAATTAGGGTTTCTTTTTTTGACAATTTTAATCCTTTTGTTTTTATTTCCTTAAAACATTAAAGAACCAAAAATATTTCTTTTTATTAATTAGTTTTAGGTTTAATTTAATTTAATTCATAAGCAACCAAAACTTCTTTCTTTCTCAAAAAGGGTCAAAACCCTAAAACATTCCAATTCAATTTTTATTCGCGCATATTATTTTTGATCCATTATTATGTAATTGTTCCGAGGATGTAATAGCTTTAATTAGGACTTTTTTTCACTTTTATTTACTTTTTCGCATTTATTTTTCAAGGGTTATTTTTGGCGATGTAAATACCCGACGCCTTGTAATAGCGTAGCTTTACTTTCCGCAATTTATCTTCCGCAACTATTAACTGCTAGATGTATGTTAATTAGGCTATGCATGACAAGACTTATCTAAAATTAAAATCAACCCGTAGCTCACCATAACATGTGCAAAGATAACTTAACTGAATCCTGACACACTCGCACATGCCACTCCTAGGGTACGCCTCACTTGGTTGCCTCGACGTGGTCATTGAGTATAGGGTGTTTTAGAGGTCACCCTCCTGTCTAAAGATCAAAGTTGCCTCGAAACGATTGCCTCGATAAAAAATGATCTAAGACATTAGGGTTACCACTAAGGCGTCCTACCATTGCTTTAGTGACCACATGTCCCTATAATCGAATTGACCCGAAAACTCCAACGACGGTGCTACCTACTTCTCAATAGTGGGATAGTACTGTCTAAAGGACATTTACACAGCTTAATTTCTTTTGAGTAGGTAGAGGTTCTCAGGTACTTGCTCTTTCAAAACAAAAATACTTTTCGCACCTACATTTTTCTGACAAAAGTTTTCAAACAAACACTTCATACACTCTTGAGGACAGATACAAGAGTTAAATCGAAGTTTTCAAACAAACTTTTTTCAAAACCCACAAACACCAGAAAAGCAAAACATTTTTGAAAACATAGTGAGCAAGTACCTAAGAGCCCGTGGATAACCACAGATAGAAAGGGTGCTAACACCTTCCCTTTCTATAATCTACCTCCCGAACCCGAGAAACATCTCGAAAAGGAATTTTTCTGTGCTTTTGTCCTTTCCTTGTTGGATAAAATAAAAGACGGTGGCGACTCTTGCTTACCGCGACATTTTACGAAACGCAAACGCGAACCAGCATTCCAAAACAGTCAGTTCTATTTCCACCGATCACATAAACCCTTTCATTAAAACCAAACACAAATCTTTTCATTTCCATTTACATTCTTGCATATTATTTTCTTTTCAATTCTTGTACATTATTCAATATGGTTGTAATAGATAATTAGGTTTAATTTTCTTGCAATTCTTAAATTTGTATACCCCTCCCCTAATGAAGTAATAGCGGAGTAATTTTACTTTCCGCAATTTATCGCTTTCATATAAATGTTAGTAATTAGGGTTGGTATGGCAAGACTAAAATTAACAATTGGTAAACCCTAATTCAAGATAAACAATGCATGTAAATCAAACACACTTGCACACTTGCACCCCTATGGTTAACTCCACTTTGTTGCCATACAAAAATGGTCATGTTATGCATGTGAGATGTCTTAGCAAAAACAATCAAAAATACAAGAACATAGTCCCTCGATGATGCTACAAATGTTGCCTTTCAAATGATCTTAGTCCCTTAAAGAGAAATGCTAAGATATCTCACGACATTGCTATCATGACTAATCTCAAAGGTCTTTCCTGTTCTTTTCCATCTTTCCTTTTGGATAAAAGAAAAGTCGGTGGCGACTCTTGCTAATCGCAATAATTGTGATCAAACACAAAACATCCCAAGTCAACTCTCCCACCGTATTACAGGTTGCGATGACCATCTTATCTTTTTACTTAAGGGTTTTATCATCATTTCCCCATTCCCTAGGAATAAATTAAATACGGTGGCAAACATGTAATTTTTCCAGCCGCGACAATCACCAAATCGTAAAGCATTCTTAAATCACTGCAAAAGAAATCTTCATGGGAATAACCCATTAATATCAAAAGGGACCATCGATATAGCGCACAACTAGAAGGCTTGACAGAAATGCCTCAAAGCAATCTTTCTAAAGCAAGAATTGGCAAAGTTCCTAGTGTCGGGGAGTCAAAATTTCCAATACCTAAAGACCAACATTGCTTGGCATATTACCAGAAGCCCAATTGTCATTTGCATTAACATATTGCATGCATTGATAATTCATCTTCCATTGCATCATTGAATACTGCAAAAACAAATATCATAGCGCGACCACTTTTGGCGCTCATCTGCTTTCCTAAAGGATCAATTGTCATCAATGATATGGCCTTTAATTAAAGCCCAACATTTCTTGTTCACCATAAATACCCATATTTTATCCAACAAATTTAGAAACTCGTGAAAAATCGAGGATCCTTGAATTTCATTTGTCTCATTTGTTGCATTATGGGGATTCCAGGACTTTTCTTATTCGTTACGAGGACTCCCGTAACTTCTATGGAGAATACTAGAATTGTTAAATGAAGCCCTTTTGTTCCGAGGATTTCCAAAACTTCCATTTTCGTTACAAGGATTTCCATAACTCACCTTCTTTCCATCCAATGACGCCCTAGTAAACCAATTTAGTTTTGTAAGAATACATACCCACCATTTTGTTTTGTGAGAATCCAAAACCTATCTTTTTATTATGTGAGAATATAGAACCCCGTATTTTTGTTCTGTAAGAATCCATAACCTATCTTTTTATTTTGTGAGAATCCAGAACTCATCATTTATTCAGTGCGAATCCATTACCTATCATTTGTTCTGTGAGAATCCAGAACCTATCATTTGTTCTGTGAGAATCCAGAACCCGCCCTTTTAGTTTTGTGAGAATCCATAACTCATTTTTTATTCTATGAGAATCCAGAGCCCATCATTTTGTTCTATGAGAAACTAAAACCCAGTTTTATAATCTGAGGATTGTGGGATGCTAGTTGTTATAAGCCTCATCTGTTTCCTTATGTGGATTTCTAGAACTCACCTTCCCTTGAAGTATCCCAAGGTATTATTCTTCATAGTAAATTTCTCTTGGAAATTTTCCTCGGTGGACCTTCTTCAGTTAATCCTATGTGAGTCTACCTTGCAAATATAGGCAACCTGCCAAGATTTATTTCATTCCTTTTGAAGGACAAAATTTGGGTCCTTTCGTATTTAACTATCTTTCACCCCGATAACATGAATATTGTTGTCACTCATGCTCTCGGGTTAAAGGTAATTAAATAGGGACAACTGTCGTAGTCCAATTTTGTCTGGGGTTGAAGATTTTCTCTTATTCTATTTTATAGAAAAGGAGAATATAAGAATGTTATAAGTTTATTTATTATTTATTTTTCAAATAAAAAATACGGTAGCTTTTGTTTTTCTATTTTTATTCCATTTTAAACATTTTTATTTTCTTTTATATAAAAAATACAAAAATATTTTAATTTGATTTTTTTTTATTTTTATTATTTTTTATATATCTTAGTGATTAGGATGATAAGAGAATTACGAAAATTATTTGTATGATCTTTTTTAATTTGGAAATAGAATCAAAGCAAATATTTTTTGATTTTGGTCTTGTTAATTATTTTGATTATATTTGATTTCCTTTTGCTTTTTATTCAACCTAAAAAATAGTATAAACAATAGTCAATTTTTACAATTAGACAGGACAAAAAGAAATACATAAAAATATCTCTTCATAACTCTCTTACCTCCCTCACGTTTTTTTTCTTCAGGAAAACACAAACCAATCCTTCTACTTTCAAAATAGACCGCACTTCATCAAAAATTCATCCAAACAAAACACCATTACATAAACCTTCATACCTTTACCTCACTATCATCAACCACCCTTCCTCTACAGTATCACCAACATCACAAAACCAACCCCCCATATCCCCACTAACCACCATCTTGCTTCCCTTACAACTACCATCGATCAACATTCATCAACCTCACCCAACCTTGAACCACCCTATCAATACCTTCAATCACCCTATCAATACCTTCAACCACAATAAACGACTTCAAAACACGACCATCAACTAAAGTGTCTCTAACCTTCATCCAACCACACCAAATATCAAATCCATATCTAAACAATATTCCATCACAACCAATACCATTCATTAACCTCTAAATGAATTTACTCAAACACACTCAACAGTCATACATAAGATAAAAAAACAACAATACAAGACCAATAAAAAAACTTGAAAAACATAGGCAAGATGGAGAACTGTAAATCAAAACCAGCAGAAAAAGTGAATCAACTCGCTGTCATTGAAAGCAGCTCGTGCCGCCCTTAGCTCAGCCACCACTGTATCATCGCCATCGGTTGATCGTTTCAACAGTCAATCGAAGTTAGTCTTTTTTTCTTCGTTTACCCTTGTTACCATTTGCTTCTAGTAGTTGTTTGTTGTGTTTAATTTCTTGAGATTTGAAAAAAAAGGGCATGGTTGTTTGTTTGGAGAAGAAGAGGATATGGGGAGGTAAAGGAAAGAAAGAAAGTAAAACGGGGAAGCAGAGTTTTTTTTCTTTTTTGGTTGCTTACTATCATATTTGTTTTATTTTGGTTTTTTTATTTCTTATAATAGACACCTGTCAGCTAAAGATTGGAGGGTGAATTTAAAATAAAGTGTCTGTGTGTGTGTGGGTGGGGGGGGGGGGGGGGGGGGGGTTTCCCTCTTTCCCCTTCATGGTTGTTTTTTAAGGGTTGTAGATAGTTGTTCTTAAGTTGTTTAGGTCCTAGTATGAATGTTTGTTCCAACCCCACTTTCACATTTTTGTACCCCTTTTAATTTCATTTACTTTTGTTTTTAATTGTTATTTATTTATCTTATTGCATTATAACAAAATACAAAAAAATTAATAACTTTTTTATTTTCTCTAAAAAAATCACAATCAAAATTTCTTTTCTCATATTTAATTTATTTGAATTGGAAATAAACAAACCTTTTTTAAATCAAAGTTTAAAATATTTTTTCCATTAAAAATAAGATAAAAAATGACCCATTGGATGTATATAAATGACCCTAGGTACTCGGTACGAAAAAAAAGTCAAGAAATTAGAGGTTTCAGAGAAGTTATAGCAAGCCTGACACGACCATCCATGTCACCTGACACAGGCCGTGTCAGGCAGAGGAGTACATGATGATCAAAAACTAGAATGCCAACACGGTCACCTGTGTCACCCGGCACGGGCCATGTCAGCCATGCTGAGACTTAAGGATTCTTGGAGAATAGACATATGACCAATACGGTTGGCCGTGTCACCTGACACGGGCCATGTTGGTCCAAACTCTAAGTTTTTTTATTTTTCTATTTGACTCTATGTGAGACCCAGAAGGGCGTTTTGGACATTTCTGACCGGGAATAATTGTTTCTGACTATTTGAGGTAGTTTTGAAAACCAAATGAGGGACCTTTTTTTGTAAACAACGAATTCCATAGTCTAGGAGTAAGCATATGAGATTCTTGAAGATTGAAGATCTTTTATGAGCGAACGCGATTGAAGACCAAAGTTCCTTCATTGTCTAATTCTTATATTTTTTTTAATTCTCGTGAACAATATGAACGGCTAAACACCCCAATGCCAGGGGGTGTCCCTGATTTGAATCTGCAATGACTTTGAATTTCTGATTTTCTCAATTCCATGGTTTTTATTATTCAATTTAATCGTGCAATGTTTTTATGCTTTCCTGATCAGACCAATTAGGATTGATTTACGGTTAACAACCAACTGGACTGCGATTGTTAAGGTTTTTGTATGATTAGACTATAGTAGATATCACCTAGGACTAGGGATACCTTATAGTTACCAGTTAACCCTTGATAAAACAAACGCTTGACTCCATCAGAAATCTCTAAAGACTTAGGATTTAGGATTAATGGTCAAAGGTTTTCTCACTAAGGACTTAGGGGAAAATAATCTAAAGGGCTGGTAGTTAAATGTTATGAACTTGTTGAAGAAATCAGGATTCAAGGTCATTATAGGGTGTTGTACCCCAAAATTTCCCCTCCCATTTTTCTTTAATACATTCTCATAAGGTCCTCAAATGCTCAAGGTTGTTTAAGAATTGATCAGACAAATTCTCCTTCTAAGCAATGGGTCCACAACTAAGGTTTTGTGTTTCACAAGAAATAGTGGGTTCTCAAGGTCTCAAGTGGATTTCATGGTTCCTCATATGCTTCAAATAATTCTCATACCAAGTTTCAATCCTTGCATCACAAGTTTGCTTAGTCAATTGCTCAGATGACTGGAAATCAACTATATTTGGTGAAAAGTCAATTGTGGTCAACATACAGTCAAACTTCAAGATTTTTGTCAACATCAAGATTTTGAAGTCATATTCATCATTTGATCAAGGGTTGATCATGATTCCTCAAGAAAAGCTCTCAAACCATCATAAGTCAAAAGTTGCCAAATTAGGGTTTCCTTAGGAGAAGTCAACTGATCTTTGACCAAGCATAACTTTTACATGCTTCATCATATTTTCCCTAACTAAATTCCATCTTGAAGGAAATTCAATTCTCTACAACTTTGTCTCTCTAAGCTCAAGTCCAAAAATGCATCATTTGAGAGATATAAGTCAATACATTACAGGTCATTTCAAAGATCAACAAAATGACACTTTTTGTCAAAGTAACTTACATTAAGATAAAATCTTCAAAAGTAAACATGATCAGCATAGAGGTTGTATAGGACATCTTGAGCTTTCCAAAAAGTCCAAAATCACCTTTAAAAGATAAAAATTGAGTAAGTTATGACCATTGCAAGTTGGGAAATTTTGGGCAAATGCATGAATTCCAAATTGAGCAAATTTGTAATTTTGAGCTATTGGGCCTAAGTTTTCAGGTCCAAACATGTTCATGACATATCTAAGGACCTATAAATATATTCATTAATTTTTGTGATTTTTATTTCTTTTTATTTTGATTTTTATTCATTTAAATTCAAAATAAAATCAAATAAAATGCAAGGTTAATGAGTTAGGCATGCAAGGCTTTTGTTTTAATCATATTGGAAGCCCGAGATTGCATATACAAGCTGGAAAATTCGTGCAAGAGTGGTTAGTGAAAGATTGATAAAAAATAGCAAGTTTTCACATAATTGCAAATCATATCTTTTCATCATAAACCACAAAGATTTGTACCATAAATGTTACCCTAATCTCATGTCCTATATATATCTAACAAGACCGGACCAACGACACACATGAAAGCTGCTTCGAAAACCCTAGAAAACTCTCAAATTTTCCAAAGAATTAGGGCAAAGTTAAACCCTCATCTCCAGGCCTTGTCAATCAATTCCAACGATCCAATCATCTCCCTGGAGGTTCCAGGAGATCATCCCTACCCTCTTTAAAGCCAAAAACACGCAGGAAGGTCGCGTTCTATCCTCACCGGTTTGGTATAATTTTTCAGCTTCAAAACTTACGATTTATGCATTGTTAATTAACTCAGTGTGTCTGAATGTGTTTATATCCATTATTAGAACAGATTGGATGCATAACATGTAAGATCTAATGCCAGAATGACCAAGTGCCATTGTTAGGGCACCGAGCTCGTGAATTCCTGAAAACTTAGTTACAGACCGTTTCAATCAAAACAAACGTCACCATTAGATTTGTGAGGCCTCAATTAGTGGACAAGGATGTATTTTATTCTTACTTTTCCTTGATTTCCCAGATTTCGCAAATAGCCTAGCCGAATAAGAAGAAGTTGACCATCAGAGGTGGTGGTTTGACTCATATACGTTTATATTATATATTAATTGTTTGATTTATATAACATATGTATAGCCACCCCAGTGGTAGAAACACACAAGCTAAGTCACTCCTCTCCCAGGTCACGGGTTCGATCCCTGGTTTTGCAATTTTTTTCTTCATATTTCCATTATCTTTGCAGGTTTATCATATGACGTATTGGACCTGTTACCTTGACACAACCAGCGTGTTGGCCCGGTGGTTTGCTTGTTGCATGAAACTGCTTAAGGATGTGGGTTCAACATCCACCCCTACTCATTTGGTTATTTCTTTTTCCAATTTTATGTTTCTCACTCTTTTCTTCCTACTTTTTCCTATTCTTTCACCAAACATTTTTCAAAACCTTTTTTTAACACAAACCCTAATTTTATTTTTAGGTTTTTAATTTTAGGTTTCTAATTTAATTTTAGATTTCTAATTTAATTTTAGGTTTTAGCTTAATTTTAGGTTTTTAATCAATAAACCCTAATTTAATTTTTTTTAGGTTTTCTCAATTGAATAAAAATTAACCTAGATTTTAGGGTTTGCTTAATCAATTGATTCTTTTAAATCAATTAATTCTTTTTTCTAAATTAAAATCAATTAAGTTTTTTTTTAGATTAATCATCAAATGATCACAAAACGATTTTCAATTTTTTTCCCTTTGTTTTACAATCTTCGTGCACTTTATTACTTTCGTATTAGTTTTTTTCTTCCAATTATGTATCTGCTATAGTATGTAATAGTTAATTAGTGTTTACTTTCTTTTCCCCCATTTTATGGTTTTTTACCCCCTTCCCCGAAGCTTTGTAATAACGTAGGACCTTTACTTTCTGCAATTTACCGCTTTCCTTATAACTGCTAGTAATTAGGGCATGTATGGCAAGATCTAAAACAAAATGCTAGATAACCCTAATCAAGAACAAATAACTGAATTAAATCACTTTTCACACACTCACCTCTAGGATAACCTCACTCGTTGCCTTGGAAAACAATCATGTCCCTCGAATGTGGGGATGCTTTAGAAAAGACCCTCGGTTAAAAAGATCGTAGTCCCTCGATGACCCTTACGATGCTGCCTTTGGTAAACGATCTGAGTCCCTTACGATAAATTGCTAAAGCGCCCCTACAAGTTGCCTTTATGATTGTACGATGACCCACGCCTACCCCTCACACATCCAATGATAGGGCTTCCTACTAACTAATGGTAGGATAGCACTACCTAAGGAAATGAGGAAAACAAGATGAAAGACTTTTGAGTAGGTAGATAGCTCGTAATCGCTTGCTCACAAAAACAAAGCATTTTTTACACAAAACATTTTTCTGAAATATTTTCAAAAACAAACACTTTGTACGCATTATTAACTTATACAAGAATCATTAC